TATATTTGATTTCCTAATATTTTGTTGAGGATTTTTGCGTCTATGTTCATCAGTGATATTGGCCTGTAATTTTCCTTTTATGTGTTATCTTTGTCTGGTTTTGGTATCAGGGTAATGTTGGCCTTGTAAAATGAGTTAGGAAGCAGCATGTCTTCTTCAATATTTTTGAATAGTTAGAGAAAGATAGGTATTAAATCTTCTTTGAATGTTTGGTAGAATTCTCCAGAGCAGACTGGACTTTGGTTTTTTGGGAAGTTTTTGCTTACTGTTTCAATCTCTTTACTTGTGATTGGTCTATTAAGATTCTCTATTTCCTCTTGATTCAGTTTTGGGAGCTGTATGTTCATGAGAACTTATCCAGTTCTTCTGCATTATCCAATCTGTTGGCATGTCCCTTATGATAGTATTCTCTTATAATCCTTTGTATTTCTATGGTATCCATTGTAATTTCTCCTCTTTTCTTTCTGATTTTATTTATCTGAGCCTTCTCTCTTTTTTACTGAGTGAGTCGACCTAAGGGTTTGTCAGTTTTGTTTATCTTCTCAAAGAGCCAGCTCTTAATTTCATTGATTCCTTCTCTTGTTTTTTTTACTCTCTATTTCATTTATTTCTGCTCTGATCTTTACTATTTCCCTCCTTCTACTGACTTTGGGCTTTCTTCTTCTTTTTTTAGTTCTTTTAGATATAGTTTAAGATTACTTACTTGAGATTTTTCTTGTTTGTTGAGGTAGGCCTGTATTGCTATAAATTTCCCTCTTATACCACTTTTGCTGTGTCCCATAAGAGTTGGTTTGTTGTGTTTTCATTTTCATTTGTCTCCAGATATTTTTTGATTTCTTCATTGATCCAGTGGTTGTTCAGTAGCATGCTGTTTAGTCTCCACGTATTTGTGACTTTCTTAGCTTTTTTCTTATAGGTGATTTCCAGTTTCATAGCATCGTGATCAGAAAAGCTGCTTGATATGATTTCAGTCTTCTTAAATTTATTGAGGCTTGCCTTGTTTCCAAACAGCTGGTCTATCTTTAATGTTCCATATGTACTTGAGAAGAATGTATATTCTGCTGTTTTGGGATGGAATGTTCCATATACATCAATTAAGCCCATCTAGTCTTGTGTTTCATTTCAGTTCACTATTTCCTTGTTGACTTTCTGTCTGGATGATCTATCCATTGACATAAGTGGGGTGTTAAGGTTCCCTACTATTATTGTGTTGGTGTCAGTTTCCCCCTTTAATTCTGTTAACAGTTGCTTTATGTACTTTGGTGCTCCTGTATTAGGTGCATATATATTAATAAGTGTTATGTCTTCTCAGTGGAATGTCCCTTTTATCGTTATATAATGCCCATGTTTGTTTCTCATTATCTTTTTTATCTTGAAGTCTGTTTTGTCTTATATAAGTATGGCTACACCACTTTCTTTTGCTTGATTATTGATATGTGAGGGCTTAGTACTGCTGTTTTATTTCTTGTTTTCTGGTTGTTCTAGATTTCCATTGTTTCTTTTTCCTTGTATTTCTGTCTGCCCTTTTCGTTTGGTAGTTTTCTGTGATGGTTTTCTGTTTTCTTTTTATTTATGATTTGTGACCCCGCTCTGAATTTTTTGTTTTGTGGTTACCATGAGACTTGTGTAAAAGATCTAGTAGATGAGATATTCCTTTCTCTGATAGCCTCTTATCTCAATTAGCCTCTGTAGGTTCCCCCTGTCCTCTTCCCCTTCTATGTTCTTTTTTGTCACAAATTATTCCTTATTTGTGTTGTGAGTTTGTGACCAAATTGAAGTTTATATTTATTTTTGATGCTTTCTTTCCCTTTATCCTTTCTGTTATAATTAAGTGTTTGCTAACCTATTCTGATATAAAGCTGCAATTTTCTGATTTTGTCTATCTGTTTATCTCCTTGCTCAAAGTGTTGTAAACCTTTGCCTTTTTGTTACAGCTAGGAGGGCTTCCTTTATCATTTCTTGTAAGGGAGGTATAGTGGCAATGAACTCCCTCAGCTTTTGTTTGTCTGGGAAACCTTTTATTTCTCCATCATATCTGAAGGATGATTTTGCTGGCTGGAGTATTCTTGGCTGCTAGTCTTTGTCTTTCAGTATTTTGAATATATCATTCCACTCTCTCCTAGCCTGTAAAGTTTCTGCTGAGAAATCTGCTGAAAGCCTGATGGGGAGTTTGGTTGTAGGTTATTGTCTTCTATCATGCTGCCCTTCATGTTTTTTCTTTGTCATTTACTTTGGACACTTTTAGTATTATAAGCCTTGGATAAGGTCTTCTTTGCAGTGTTGTAGTTATGAGTTCTATTAGCTTCATGTACTTGCATGTCCAGTCCTTTCCCCAGGTTTGGGAAGTTCTTAGCTATTATTTCTTTGAATAAGTTCTTTGCTTCTTTCTCCCCATCTTCTCCCTCTGGGATACCTATAATCCTTATGTTACTTTTCCTAGTAGAGTTGGATATTTCTCAAAGAATTTCTTCTTCTTCTTCTTCTTCTTCTTCTTTTTTTTTGGTGAGCAAGATTGGCCCTGAGCTAACATCTGTTGCCAATCTTCTTTTTGCTTGAGGAAGATTGTCACTGAGGTAACATCTGTGCCAGACCTCTTCTATTTTGTATGTGGTATGCTGCCGCAGCATGGCTTGATGAGTGGTGTATAGGTCCATGCCTGGGATCCGAACCTGTGAACCCTGGGCTGCTGAAGTGGGGCATGCAAACTTAACCAGTATGCCACCATGTCGGCCCCTCCTTCATTTCTTTTAAAAATCTTAGTTCTCTCTCCTCCTCCACCTGAATCATTTCTATGTTTCTATCATTGAGTTCACTAATTCTCTCTTCCATAAGGTCTGCTCTATTTTTTATGTTTTCTATATTATTTTTTGTCTCATTAATTATATTCTTCATTTACAGAATTTCTGTTTCTTCTTTTTTTCTTTTTACAGCTTCAGTCTCTTTGGTGAAGTATTCCTTCTGTTCATTAATTTTACTCCTGAGCTCATTGAACTGTCTTTCTGAGTTTTCTTGTAACTCACTGAGCTTCTTTAGGACTGCTATTTGAATTCTCTGTCGGTTAGATTGTAACCTTCAGGTTTGGTTTCTGGGGAGTTGTCATTTTCCTTCTGTTCTCCATGTTACTGTAGCTCTTCATGGTGTTTGATGAACTGATCATCTGCTGGCGCATTTGTGGTTATAATCACCTTCTCTTATTTGAGTATGGCTTTGGTTGCTTTGGTTCTGGTTGTCTGGGTCTTGTGGTCCTCCCATGGCTCTTCTCAGACTTGCATGCTGTTGTCCCATGCATCACCTATGTCACTGTTCCCCAATTGCCTGGGGGTGCTGGTTGCACCACTCCCAGAGGTGCTGGGTTCACAGGTGTTGCTGTTGCTGTTGGGGGCCCAGGGGCCCAGGGACTTGTACGTAGCCCCCATGTAGTGGAGTTGGTGTTGGAAGTGCTGCCACTGGGGGCTGTATACTTCTGCCCTGTCTGCTCACAGTTGTGTGGGTCAGGTTGCTGCCTCTGCTGCTGCTCCACTGACTGTCATGGGGCAGGGCCACTGATGCTCTGCTGCCACCACTTCTTGGGCATTTGTGCATGCATGCGTGGCCACTGCTGCCATTCTGGAGGTGTTTGTGCACATGCAGGACTTCTGCCCCTTGGGCTTTTGCATGTGTGTGGGGCGGCTGCTAGTTGCTCCCACCACCACTGCTGTCCCAGGGGTGTTCATGCACATGCAAGGCTGCTGCTGCCCCAGCAGTGTTCAGGTGCATAGGGCTGAGCTGCCCTGGCCTCCACTCACAGTCCCATGAGCTGCTGTGTGAGCATCCATGTCCTGGATTGCTGTCACTGGGGGTGAGGAAGGGGGTTCTCCCCTAGTTCTACTGCGTCCCAGGGGTCCAGTCCACCCACCTTCAGCTGTATACCTGCCTGGATCTCTTAGACATCCTGTTGTGCTGTGTAGGGAATCCTCTGTTGGTCAATGGATGTCTGTCTGGTTATAATTTAGAGGGAAGAGAGAAAGGGAACCTCTCACTCCACCGTGATGCTCATGTCACTCTCAGAGTGTTTTCCATGTATGTGATCATGTGTGTAGAAATAAAAATAGTTTACTTCTTCTTCTTTAATCAGTATTCCTTTTTTTTCTTTTTCTTGCCTTATTGTAATGGCTAAGGTCTCCAGTGTAGTGCTGAACAGAAGAGGTGAGAATAGATATCTTTGTCTTATTTCCAATTTTAGGGGAATATCATTCAGTCTTTCACTATTAAATATGTTGTTAGCTGTGGGTTTTTCACAGCTCTTTATTTAGTTGAAGAAGTTCCTTTCTATTCCTAGTTTACTGGGAGCTTTTGTTATATGTGGGTGCATTTTGCTGTGTATAAATTATACCTCAATTAAAAAACTGGTTTAATAAAAAACAGTAATATTACATATACTAAAATGTGAACAGAGCAATGTTGTCTCTTATATATCAGTTTTAGAAAAAACTCAAACTGGGTAAAGTTTAAAAAGATTAAGAAAAGCTTTAGTCAAGGCTAAAAATTTTATTTTTGTCACTCAACTATCATATTAAAGGTATATTCAAAATATTGCTTGAGGATTTTCCTTTTAGAAACAGAAAATAAATCTAAGAAAGGAATTGCTATCTTCCCATTTCCTAAGCTAATATAATACCTCAAAACTCAATATTATTTTTCTGTGTGATAAACTTTGCTGTAAAATTTGAATTGAGCTTTTCTAATTAGCACTACTGAGATATTTTAATTCCTTTTCTTTTCCCCAGAATGAGGCAGAATACTTCTAATGTTTAGAAATTATTTTCTTATTTGGTGTATAAATACTTAGGTGTATTCTGTATAATACTAAATAATAACTATGCAGGTTAATTCTAAATCAGTATGGCAAGATTTTGTTTCCATTTCTATCCTTATATACAGATGAGGAAACTGAAGCTCAGAAGGAGTAAATGACTTACCTTTAGTTATTTCTATATCTATGGTAACTTTTTTTTTAATAGGAGTTACTTAAAGATCCATTGTACATTGGACTACGGCAGAGAAGAGTGAGAGGTGCTGAATATGATGGGTTTTTGGATGAATTCATGGAGGCCGTTTCTTCCAAGTACGTGTAATCTTTATTTTATCTATATTTGAGTTACCTATATTCAAAAATTTAAAGACAACCCAACATAATGACCTATAAAAATGTTAAAGTTTGGTGCAGTATGTTTAATATTTAGAAATGATTTGAGTGAAATACACACACACACACACACACACATACATCCTGATAACTATTAGTGGCCAAATGATAACATCGTGTGTCTATCACAGAAAAGGTTGTCTCTGTTGCTATACCTGTAGATACTTTTCCATTATAAGAATCTTTAGATCCTGTGGTTATTGGAATATGGTTATGATGAATGATTATGAATGATGATTATGGTGAATGAGGCAATGGCCAGTGACTAAATTACCTGAGCTAGCTTTTTTATGATTATTTGAAGTCTGTGCTTGGTTTCTGGCTGCTGATAAAATCTGATCTTTGATCATCTTTGTGGGTATATCTGACCTCTTTGTGGTAGGAAAAGCAGAGGAAGAAGTGAGCATGAATTAGTACAGTCCACAGGGGTCAGCATAGAGGAAGAACAAGGACATCCCTTCACAATCTACGAATCTCTGATTGAATCTACGGTATTTGATAAAATACAGTACTGTAGTTCACCTAATCTAGATAGCACTTAATCGTGGGTCAAGTGCCACTGTAAAATTTTCCAGTTTTTCCCTTCAAAGCAGAGACTTCTACAGTAATTTAGTAATATATTCTGAGAGAATTTTGTCACACTAACAGTCATCCCATTGGTTACTGTATAGCCACAGAAACCATGTACTATTTAAAAACATATATATTTCCTTGGTTTTTCATAGAACTAAACTCATCACTAGAATCAGCTGTAACTAGAGATGTGCTGCTGGTTTCTTTTTCTTAGAAGGTTTAATTTTAAGAAGTTGTATCCAACAGCAGAAAGTGCTGTCATCAGCTTGCACAATATTTAGCATCTCCCATTAGCCAAGGTTTTAGTGTGGAGTATATTTGCCAATTAGTGTGGACTACTTTTTATTTATTTATTTATTTATTTATTTATTTTAATTTATTTATTTATTTTCAGATGTACATCACAATATGTTTCGAATTCTGTGTAGATTACATCATGTTCATCACCCGAAAACTAATTATAGTCTACCCCTCACATGTGCCTAATCACCCCTTTTGCCCTCCCCCCTCCCGCCTTCCCCTATGGTAACCACCAATCCAATCTCCACTGCTATGTGTTGGTCGTTGTTTTTATCTTCTACTTATGAGTGAGATCATATGGTATTTGACTTTCTCCCTCTGACTTATTTCACTCAGCAAAATACCCTCAAGTTCCATCCATGTTGTCACAAATGGCCAGATTTCATCATTTCTATGGCTGAGTAGTTGAGGACTACTTTTTAAAAGCTCATGCCTGTTTTATTTACTGTTATTACTTATTAACTTATTTAATTAAACTATACTTATTCATAGAAATAGTTAAGAAGCTTTACAATTCAAGCTCAAAATTACTTAGTACACTTAATTGCTAGCAGTTTTTCATATTTAATTTTGATTTCCTTATCCTCTAAATTTTATGTAAGGTTTTGAAATTATCTGTAACTTTCTAGGTAGCAATGTTAATCAAGAGATTATGTAGAGAATACTCTAAGGCTATGTAGAAGAAAAGGAAAATATAATTCTAAACATATTTATTTTTATTGTCTATTTGTTTAAATGAAGTCTCTCTTTATATAGACAATTTCAATATGTTTCCAAAGAAGCCGTTAAACAAATTATGAACTTAGCATGTGTGGTCTGTATACTTAAATAATTGTATTTGGTATCAATGAAATGCTTTCTGGAGAAAATGAGATATGAGCTAATTTTGAATGTACTGTATCAATCTAGAATCAGGACAACTTTTTTTTTTAAATGTTGAATTGAGGGGTTATCTAAGATCTTCAGTAAGGAAATGAGGATTGACAAGAGTCAACAATAATTTTAAATGCAGGGGCACCTATAAATCAGGAGTTTTATTTCTCGGCTCTTCCCAGAGAAAAATCCTAAAGACTTTTCACAAATACTTCCTAGCATGACACTGCATTGGGAAAGTTTTCTAGAAGTGGAACCTAGCACTGCTCAATTAAATTGGGAAGTAGTCCTGAAGATAAGTCCAAGATTATTTAAGAAGGAAATGTGAGTTAAATTCAAGGAAGAAAATGACTGGGTTTCCCAGGAATCAGATTCTGAGGTGGAGTTATTAAGAAGTGTGCACGGAATCAACTCGTTTGGAAGGGAGGGGACAGAAAAAGGGGTGGATGAAGGGAGAAGTGGAGCTGCAATGTGGACCCACCATAGCCTTGGATAACTTACACTGGGACCACCTTTGCAAGCTCTTTAGATCCTAAGAGAACACTAATTTCTGCCAGTGCCCCCATACCCCCATCAGTACTATGTTGTTTTTATTTACTATCTTGTTGGGGTTGTGGTAGGGCAGTTTCAAATTCTTCCTCTTGGCTTTTTCCACATTTAGAGATCTTACCTGATAGGCCAAAGACTTGATATGGGTGTTGTGGCACTTACCAAATATGTCTATGCTGACTATATATTTGAGGACAGAGGAAATCATCACCAGGTGGGTCTGTGGTCCCAGTGGACCCATTATAAGCTAGACCTTGGCCAGGGCTCCATTTATTACTGGCTCCATATGCTGCTAATGAGGAGGGACAGCATATTGATTCTTCAGGTCTCCTGGTATCATTGTCAACTCTGCACTCTCCAAATGTTTGTGTATTCCCTGTCCCCGGGGCACAGTCACCTGAATAAGGGGCCATACGTCCCTTTGGAGAAGGATTGGGGGAATTATTACCTTGTATTCTTGCCATGGTGTTGCAGGGTCCTTCCCTCTGGAGACGGGGCCTCTTCTTCAGTTAGGGGGTTCCTGGGTCCAAAAGTTAGCTCAAGTTTGGAAACTGAGCAAGAGATTGTGATTTCACTGGAGCAACTACTCAGCTTTGTGGTCATCCATCTTTGATTTCTTTTGAATGTGCATATTCAAAAGAGTATATATTCAAAAGTAATAGCCTTGTTAGCTATCTATTTTGCCTCTAGAGATGCCTATTCTATTAATTATCTCAATAACTCTCTGTGGGTCAGCCCCCCCCCCCACATGCCAACCTTACCACTCTTATGATAATTGTGCCCAGTTGGCTTCTGATCCTTACTTGATTCTATTGTCCCCGTTGCTGTTAATCAGCCTAGTTCTATAACAGCCTTTCCTTCTGTCAGTTCTGGCCTTCAGAAGAGAGCTGCCCCAAAGTCCTTAGTAATGTAGATGTCTTCTCACTAGCACATTCCTTGCGGCTTTGTAAATGGCATGTTTTCTGGGCCTTCCTGTGGGACACCATCGTCGGATGGGCTTTTGGGCCTAATGTGGCATGTATATTCCAGAATGCACTCTGAGCCTTGTAATCCCCTCTTCTGTCATCTGCTACAGCATTTCTGGCATTTCAACCATATTTAATATGAGCCATTACTTTGTCCATGTTTCTAGAAACCATCCTAATAGCCAGTTTATACCGTCAGTCTTTCTGGTTGTAAACCCTGCATCTCAGGAGAGTGCTTTCAAATCCATAAAATCTCCCTTATCTTATCCTAATTTCTGGCCTCTTTGATCAAACACTCTCAGAATTTAATCTCACATGTACTCTCCTGGCTAATGTAAACTAGCTAGATCTCGCATTTCCTTTGTGGAATAGCCCCTTTCTTTCTTTATCAGGGCTAGTATGTCCCAGATGGGTTATGTTGTGTCATGACCCTAGTTAAATAGGCCTAAGTGTCTGGAGAGGAGGTAAGGGTGGACAGATCGGGGTTAGGGAGGGTCATATTGTCTTATGAGGAAGAAGCCTCTATCTGCATCATCTCCAAGAAAGAAGGGGCAGGCCACTTTTGTGGGTTCAGAAAGTTCTGGGGAATATGGGAATTCAAGATTTTTGGAGGCATGAAACCAGACATCTCATTCTACATGGCAGGATTCTGTTCTTTTCCAGCCAGGATCCTGATTTAGCACATCTGCCTTGCTTCAGTTTTGGAGTTTTTGACTACTCTGATGATTAATCCCTGTTCCTGGTCGTCAGCTTTCTCTGCCCAGGAGCTACAGGATCTGAGAGCGTTTTTGTGTCTACCAGGGAGGTTCTCTGGCTTTTACATTGGTGATTACTTGCCCTCAGCTTTTCGTATTCTTTTCGCATTGTCCTTACAGTTAGTATTTCTCCCGTATTTCTCAGCCATCTGATACATCATTACAGCTAAAGTGATACACCATCCCAATCTTCCTCTGGTGAGTTTTGACAGTTGGACTGCCACCTTGTTCCAGAGATTCATATGTTCCATCTCCCACCAGTGATGGGGTCCTTATTGCCAGCCAAACAGCAAGTGATCCAGCTCCAAGCCCCATCTTATCACCTGCTTTCTTGGACGACTCCTGGTACCGACTGTCACAGATTAGGTTACCTGGGAAGCAGATTCTGAAATGAACTTTTGTGTTCAAGAGGTTTACAAGAATTACCCTAGAGATCAATCCCTATGGAGGGGGTACAGAGCAAACAGAAATGGGCAGAAGGAGAAACTGAGCTTCAGTGTAGGTACAATGACCCCGCCTTCCACTGACCACATGAGGAACTCTGGAACTACAGCAACTTTCAGAGTTGTCCCAACTTGGGCTGAGATGGCCCAGCCTTTGTGTTCCTGCATCAATTAGTCATTGGGTATGGGTCACCCTGAGAAAGCGTGGCCTGTGGTGTAGTGCTCTCTGCAGCTGAGGCAATCCCTGGGACAGACAGCACTGGGGATCCAAGTGCCAGATCACAGTATTCAGCACAGTGACATTTAGATATAAATAAAGATTGAGCAGAAAAAAAAGTTTCAAGTTTTGTAATTAAGGCATGTTCTGGAATCTGAAGGATGGATTCTATTTTTGATATTCTATTGTTAAGCTTACATAACAGACAAATACTTGCCTCTCCGTAATATTTTTGGTTTGGAAA